CTTCTTCTTTCTCTTTTCTTTCTTCTTTCTTCTTCTCTACTTTGACCTAGAAACAACTAGGGTTTATTCACACTTAGTATGCCTTGGTTTCTTGTAGTATTCACATATCACTTCTTTCTTCTCATTCGGCCCCCTTGGCTTTATTCTGACATGTGAAAAGTGTTCTGCAGGTGGTCCCTATAACTGTACTTGTCGCCTACTCTCTTCACTACTTTCCATAGCATATGCTTGAGCAAGTGTAACCTCATCTTTGGCTAGGATGGTTTGCCTAATAATGTCGAACTCAAGGTTGAGTCTTGTAAGAAACTCAAACACCCTGTTTTGTTCCACCAGTTTTCTAAAAGTTTTTGCATCCTTAGCACTCTCCCACACAATTGTCTCCATAACATCAATTTCCTGCTACAGTGATTTCAACATGGAATAGTAGACTACTACGCTCTTCTCCCCCTGTCTTAGATTGTTCACATCACTCTTCAACTTATAGGCTCTTGCAACATTCAATTTTTGTGAATATGTCTCCATAACACTATCCCAAATCTCCTTGGCTGAGGTCATTCATAGATAATGCTAAATTATATGGGGCTGCATAGAGTTAACCAACCATCCAATCACTTTGTAATTCTCCTGCATCCATTTCTCATATGTAGGGTCCATCTATGCAGGTTTCACCTTACTGCCTATGAGGTACCCTAGTTTCCCTCTACTGCAAACATAAATCTGTATAGACTATGCCTAGGCAAGATAGTTGGTTCCATCATCTAGTTTAATTGTGGTCACTCCAGTCAAAAAGGAATCTACCAGACCAACCCCAAATATCGGCATCTGCTTCATTTCACTTTCAGATTGCTCCATTAATCAAACGAAAATCAAAAAACTAGTTTTTCAGTCTTTATAGACCTAGCAGATGTCAGTACAGTACCCGGAGACTCAAAATTTAGAGTTTCACTGCACCCAGTTGTCGGGAAGAAAGAGAGAAGAGGTAGCCGTTCCTACCAGAGCTTCCCAAACTCCTTAAAATCTCAACCGCACCCTTTTAGGGATCAAAACACACCTCCCAAGCCTTGAGCGCCACACCCAATCCTTCTCCTTAACCTGTAACTTGAAAAAACTCTAGTCAGCTAGGGTTTTGGGCAGAAAAATTATAGCTTCACCTCTTGGCAATTTTCAGCCAGATCCACACTCCCCAAACCCTCTACCAACTAGGAAAAACAGTCCTTCAACTGATCAGGAACTTATCTCTCCATACACTCTTCTAATCGAAGGGTGCATGGGAAAAAAAGGGAAAAATGAAAAATGAAGAACTGCTCTGATACCAAGGTGCAAGTCTGTCCATCAAATCTGAAATAAAATCTGAGAAAAAAGAAAAGAATGACAGAGAAAAAGGATTACAGCAGAATAGAAGAGAAGATGGAGAAGAAGAAGAGGAAGAAAAAGAGAGGTTGATAGTTTTCTCTCTTCCCTCTCTAATCTTTTGTTAATCTTAATTAAAATGATTAATTACAAGTCTGCCCTTTAAGTGGGCGGCCAGCTAAGGAAGAACTAAAAGAAAAAATAGAAAGAGGTTAACAGGCCCATGAAGAAAAGGCCCATTAACACATAAAACGTAAGGAACACTGCTTAAACATAAAAAGTAAATACTAGGGCCCATTCGGCCCAGTCTCTCTACACGATCATTATAAACATCAATCCCACTCTCTGGCTTTGGATCCTTGATATATTGTAACTTCCCCTTTCTGGTGAGAAACACTTCAAAAAATTTCGCCCATAGTACAAAATTGGTACCATTAAGTTTGACTGAAGTCATCTGCACTACCATATAATCTGGCTACCCACCATGGTAGACTTATTCATACCACTAAATGAGGCCATGATAAGAAAATCAATGCTGAAAACACCTAACACCACCACTGTTTTCTCACAAACACATCAAGTTGCCTTTACAAACTGTCACCTGCACGACTTATCTTTATACCACAAGAAACACCAATTAACAGCAATATACTTCAACAAGAAACAGTTCTCAATCAAAAAAACTCAACAAAACAAATCTGGAATAACGGCTAACCTCAAAAACTTAACAAAATCTCCTGATGCCACACTTCATTCTATCATCCAAATACTGCAACATATAGAATACTCAACTGCTAAAGTAACTAACCTGAAACATACTTCAATCTGTACCTCTTTGAACTGTCAAATAGAGGGTTCTCAGAGCTTCCATCCCTTGATGTGATCAGTCCAGAAAGTCAATTGGTGATTCCCCTATTCATAGAAGTAAGAGTAACCTATGTTCAAGGTTGAAGAATAACTAAAATTGATCCAGGTGAGTAATGGTGCTCTGATATCATGTAACCAGCCTGGAATAAATCTCAGAACAAGAGAAAATAAGAAAAAAAGTATGAAATCAAAGCAAGTTGAAAGAACAAGAAGAGAAGAGGCAAATAAGAAAGGGAGAATAATAAAATAGGGATAAAAGCAGAGGAGATCAAACAGAACTTATCTCCTAACCACCGACCATCTTTATTTAGTATTCTAATGTGATGTATATTGATTAAACTGCCCCTGCTTAAGTAATATAAAGAAAGAATCACATTTATGTCCTGCCACCTATATATACAACTTCTAACAACAATGACATACAAAGTTCTTTTCTCTTATAATTTCTTACTCTCATTCCTTGGTGGACAGCAAGCTTTCTAGTTGCTTTTCTACTATTCTTCATTCCTAATCACTTCAAACCCCTCCACCCTACAAAGCCCACCACCAGATCTGAAATTGGTAGGACCCCTACTCCGTCCTACACCATTGCTCCTCCAAGCATCACAAAGCTTCTCAAAAAATAGTATGGGACAATATTCAAATTTTGAACACATCCCCAACTTCTACATTGGGTAACACCAACGATTCAACTTTTACGATTGTGATTTGACCAGCACCAGACTCTATACCTTGAACATGTTATTCATAAATCTCAAGTTAATTGCTCTCTTAAAGGCATGAACTGAAGGATGATTCACTATATAGGGTTATAATGCATGGCCATGTTATCTGATGCAAGCCTGTGGATCTACACTGAGATCAAAAGAAAACAAGAAGTAACTAAAATGCAAGAATCTCCTGGAAACAATTGTAATACTGTAAATTCAAGAATAAATACTGCCGGTCATTATACTTCGTCCTTTGAAATATCTTACAATCATATACCTGACTTTTGAAGTTTTATAGTAAGCAAATACAAAGAGCTTTTCATTAAAAAAAATGAAAATTTATCAGAAGAGGAAAATTTACAGAAGGGAAATAGGATTTATATCCATGGAGCAACCCACAACAAGAACCAATAAACAAGAGAACAAGATGAGCATACAATGTGAATGTCTTGTTAGTAGGATTGTCACTAAGCTAATTTATGTATTGTGAGATCTTGGTTAAAAGCTCAAAATGGTCCTTGGACCAAGCAAACCTAGGTGCTGAATATTCCACAAGATTTTAAGCCCTTTGTTCTGTTTGAGTTGTTTGTACATCCCCCCCCCTTTGCTCCTTTTGAATATAAAAGTTACCTTTTCAAAAAAAAAAGGCCTTTGGGTCAAACGTCAAATGAACTAAAGTTTCAGGAAGGTTCCTAGTCTAACCAACCTTACAGCGATATATTAATTACTTTTCAACGTTTTAATTTTGAATTTTTATAGCGGACCTTAAAGTTCATCTATATGTTTATATGTTGGTTATGTTTTTGTGGTCTTACTGTTGATAAAGTACAAAAAGGGCTAGAAGATATTCCTAGAAAGGTGTATATTTAGTGGAAAGTGACCAGTTGAGTGAATATTCATTTACTCAACCGCAAGATGGAACTTCTCCTCAAAGGTTAATATGGATACTACAATAGCTTTTCTTTTCAATGAAACAATTTTGCTTCTCCGTACTATGTCTATTCAAGGTTCAAAGTATCGATACAATACGTCCCATATCAGGTGTATCATATCATTCCAGTAGGTCATCAAAACACCTATTTCAAGGCTTTTGAGAATTTTGATTTTTTTTTTAACGTTAAATAATGGTATTATAACCCCGCTGTGAGAACACAAAACCAAAAATATAAAAAAAAAATAGCATATGACTCACCCAAAATGCCTGATATGCATGTTTATGCATATTGGGTGTATCAATACTTTGAACCATGTGTCTGTCCCAGTTTGTGAGGATGCTCTTATGAAAACCTTATCTTAGCCTGATTTATCATCTAACCACAGAGTGCTAAAAATGAATTTAGTGTCAAATCCCTCAGCTGGTAGAGAAGCATGCCACAAGGGTGCAATGTGCTGCTGCTTTTGATTATAGACTCACTTGTACACACACATAGTAGAAGGAAACCTATGATGCCCATATACCTGTACAAGGGTGCTATATTGTGTCAAATACTTCAATTTTTAGTGTAAATTCCATATCCATCCATGTCCTTGGCATATCTGGGTAACATAGAAGCAAACGCAAAGCAATCTAACATCATTTAAAAGTTATGAGGAATGGTGTAACACACAGGCTAAAAAAGAACTCAGAGAACATTTTATGCAAAGAAGATCACCAGAGAAACTAAAAATGGAGTTCTGTATGATACAAATAATTCACCTTGACAAAGTATCCTGAACATTTTCATAAACTTGACAGAGGAACTAGTTGAACATTCCAATTATTTCACTACAACTCTAATCTCTTGGAAAGAATATTCTAGAATAGACACAGTTATATAAAGCAAATTCTCGGAGTACTGTAAAAAAATCACCTTATACAGTAAGTATAATCCATAAACAGATATGAAACACAAGCATGAAAAATGCACCCAGAGCCTGTAAAGAAAAAAGGACTAAGTAAGTACTTTCAAGAACCACTCCACTAAAGGAAAAGATTATTTATTTCATAGAAATTATAATGCGGCATGCGGGAAACAAGTGATTATAGAAGGAAATATGTTGTGGGTGTCATTGGGTTCATAAAATGAAATACCTTCCAAATGGCACTGTTGAATAATTTAAGGCTTGATTAGCTGCAACAGGACACACCAAAATGTATGGAGTAAATTATTTCAGACCTTTTTTTCTTTTAGCTAAGGTTAGCTTTACTAGGGTTGTTATTTCTTCATCAACTA